GTATAGTATAGTACTCGTACCACCACTTACGTAGTACGTACTCTACGTACGTTACTTACTACTATATATATTATATATATATATAATAATAATATTATATATATATATATATATATATATATATATATATATATATATATATATTACATGCAAAAAGATAGTGATAGACCCCAGATCCCAAGGACAAGGAGCCTCTATACATAAATAAAAAATTTTGTGCCCTCAAATTGTCAATTTATGAGTGAGAGAGATAGGGGATGGGCGATGATAGGGAGAAAAGGAGTGGGCGTGCTAATTAATCATACAAACTATTTCGAGTATCACACCAGCAAAAACACAACAACTACATCTAAACACATACCCTCTGTTTTAGAAATAATACCAGTTTATAATTCTGAAAGGATGTAACCAGAACATTTTACAAAGTGTAACACCATATACCAACTATTGATCAAGACCGTAGTTTGATACGAAGGAAAAATGTTCCTGCAAATCTGGCATCATGGTTAGCCCAGCAAAGAAAAATATCAAGGAGAGGTCCAGGATCATTCAAGTTTCAATAATGCCCCCCATGAAAGCAGTATACCCTCTTAGAATGGAATGCAGATATGTTACTACAGTTTCGACAAGCAACTCCATTTAGACCATTCAATTCTCAACATTTCATGATATTATGCAACAAATCATCTGACAAATTTCTAGACCACAAGCAGTTGGTCAATTTTGCGGCATATGCAAAAACAAGTGGGAAGCAAAATCCCTCCTTCCATGGCATATTCATTTTGCAACAAGTCCACTTGTTTCCAATTCCGTTCTCCATAGCTAAGACCCCAAGCAAAGGTCCTATCAAATATGACATACCAATGCATGTTGCCAACAGTGTTTTTTTCTTAGTAAAGTTCACTATATTGTATTGCTTAGTAATAAGACAAACCAAAATTACAAGAGGTGTGGTGACCCCACAAGGTCACTCTATAAAGCCCAAAGTAGGGTCCAAAAATTGTACAAAAGGAAAAACCATTCAGAGCGGCAGAGTAGAATAGGGGCCTTAGGTCCCCCAGAGGGAACTGGAACTAGACCCCACCTTAGCCAACCAATCAGCATCTGAGTTGTTGGCTTCCATATACATGTGGCACCAAGTGATTCTGAAAGCCCTGGTTATATGCAAAATTTCTTCAAAAATGTCATCAAGGCACCACAAGTGATGAACAATTAGATGCCCAAGTGATAATATTCTTGGCATCACCTTCCACTATCAGGTTGTGACTCCATGAGACGTCACACTTGCGAAGACCCTCCAAGAGGGCAAGAGCCTCAGCAAGAGTGGATCCAATAGGATGGGAGAAAGACATCAGAGTACACCCATCACTAGCACGGAAAAGACCCCCTATACCTGAGGGTCCCAGGTTGCCAAGGGAGCAACCATCAAAATTGAGCTTAAAAGCTCCCCTTTCCGGTGGTCTCCACAGAGAGGCCGTCGAGATTCTTGGATAGGCTAACAGTGCTAATCTTCAGCCCATTGTAGAGCACACATCTACCAATCTTCTTGTTGGAATCTCCTACTCCCCTGCACTAATACCTTGTTTTTGTCCCTAATTCCACATCTATCTGAGAGCTTTCTTCCTTCCTATTAGGTGACCAATGAAATAAGAGTTCGTCGACGAGTCTTCTGATTTAAAACTACAATCACCAATGTTTATATTGTTCTTTTTCTAACTAGTTTTGTTCTTTCTTTATCTGCCTTAGTTTTGTCTTATTTAATAGAGCTTCCATGCTCATAGCCCCAAAGTATTTAGTTTCATTGTCTCGCCTAAGGTCCCCCATGAAATTGCTTGCTTTTAATGGCCTGGAGAATCATAGTTAGGAACCCGACATCATATTCATAGGCAGAGCAGATCTCTGATATTGCTGAGATCAGTACTAAGCGATAACCCTTCCAACTCTCCATAAACTTCCACAGTAACAGCAAAATTGCTAAAAGCATCACTTGGATGTCAATAATGACAAATGTGGTTACAATGTGAACACTCCATTCTAGGTTAGGGTAATAATTTGGTAGCTAGGGCATACGAGCGGCATCACCGTATCCAAGCTATGAATCCCATCTAACTAGGTTTGGTCCTTCTTTATATGCCTTAGTTTTGTCTTCTTTAATAGAGCTTCCATGCTCATAGCCCCAAAGTACTTAGTTTCAGAGTCTCGCCTAAGGTCCCCCATGAAATTGCTTGTTTCTAATGGCCTGGAGAATCATTATTAGGAACCCGGCATCATATTCATAAGCAGAGCAGATCTCTGATACTGTTGAGATCAGTACTGAGCAATAACCCTTTCCAACTCTCCATAAACTTCTACACTAAAAGCAAAATTGCCGAAAGCCTCACTTGTAAAGATGTCAATAATGACAAATGTGGTTACAATGTGAAAACTCCATTCTAGATTAGGGTCTTAATTTGGTAGCTAGGGCATAAGAGCAGCAGCACAATGTCCAAGCTATGAATCCCATCTAACCTACAACCATCAATATTTAGATTGCTCTTTTTCTAACTAGTTTTGTTCTTTCTTTGTCAGCCTTAGTTTTGTCTTCTTTAATAGAGTTTCCATGCTCATAGCGCCAAAGTATTTAGTTTCAGAGTCTCCCCTAAGGTCCCCCGTGAAATTGCTTGTTTCTAATGGCCTGGAGAATCCCGGCATCATATTCATAGGCAAAGCAGATATCTGATACTGCTCAGATCAGTACTGAGCAATAACCCTTGCCAACTCTCCAGAAACTTCCACCCTAACAGCATAACTGCTAAAAGCATCGCTTGGAAAGATGTCAATAATGACAAATGTGGTTACAATGCGAACATTTCATTCCAGGTAAGGGTCTTAATTTGGCAGCTAGGGCATAAAAGCAGTAGCACAATGTCCAAGCTATGAATCCCATCTAACCTACAACCACCAATGTTTAAAACTTTAGATTATTCTTTTGCTAACTAGTTTTGTTCTTTCTTTGTCTGCCTTAGTTTTGTCTTCTTTAAAGAGCTTCCATGCTCATAGCCCCAAAGTACTTAGTTTCAGAGTCTCGCCTAAGGTCCCCCATGAACTTGCTTGTTTCTAATGGCCTAGAGAATCATTGTTAGGCACCCGGCATCATATTCAGAGGCAGAGCAGATCTCTGATACTGCTGAGATCAGTACCGAGTGATAACCCTTGCCAACTCTCCATAAACTTCCACACTAACAGCAAAACTGCAAAAAGCATCACTTGGAAAGATGTCAATAATGACAAATGTCGTAACAATGCGAACATTCCATTCTAGGTTAGGGTAATAATTTGGTAGCTAGGGCATATGAGCAGCATCACCGTATCCAAGCTATGAATTCCATCTAACCTACACAAAAGAGAGGTGCTGGAATCCACTTATCATGTGGCCAAATTCTGAATGTAACATCAGCACTTCATGAATGTGAAGGTGTTAAAATCAGGATATCCACTGACCAAAATCAGTACCAAAAAAGCTAGGAAGAGTCCTTAAATTGAATCAGTTTTAGCGTTTTCAATGGCTGGAATACAAGATGCCATCACCGAGCGCACATTTGAGGGCACAAGATGGCATTGAAAATAATGCCTTGGGTGACACTGATCCAGCAGGAAGTCGTGCAAGAGCTACAAATCAAACCCCTTTTTCCAATAATATAGGAACTATTCAACATGTGTAATGAGATCAATCGTAGTGCAGATGTCCAGAATCTCAAGTAAATATTACCAAGTATTATCACCATAATGGATACATGGGGATCAAATATTTATATAGAAGATTCCCATCCCTTCCAACCAAGGAGCTTTCAAAAGTGCTATCTTTTGAAACCATACCAAGTGTTTTTATATTTTTCAGGGTACCCCTGTCACAAGCAAACTCAGACACTAGTGATAAAATTCCTTTTCTTTGAACGAATATAATTTACGGGTTGCACTCTCCAAAAAATATTAAAAAATGGATATAAATTATTGCAAAATACAAAACAATTCTAAGTTTCCCAGATAACTTCCAAAAACCACCTAACAGATACCAGTAAGAAACCCTAGAAAAACAATAAAACAACTACAACCACGCATCTGCTGCTTCAAAGAACAAATCCTAGAGGGAAAACCAGTTTCCATGCCCTCTATTTAGTCATTTGATACTAGTTTCTACCTTATTCCGTTTACCAATAGGGCATGATATGGGTGCATTCCAAATCAAAACCTAGGATTTTAAACATCATCATGCTTTCCATGGATTGCCAGCCCCATAAAGAGCTGCCCAAATACCAAACTAGGGCATGGCATAGAAAATCCAATAGGGGATAACGTTCATCAATCAACTGAGTTCCAAAACCACATTGCAAGTGCACCAGATACATTACCATGAAACAGATAAGCATCATTACAAACCCCAAGCTCCCTTCTGGATCCCACGGAATTGAAGAAAAAGCAACGCAAAATTTCATCACATAAAGGAAAAAGAAAGAAGAAAAAAGGGTAAAAATTGAATTTTGTGGACAACGAGAGGAAGTGACCTGTCTTAGGAGGTGCCTCCAAGCCATGGCCTCTCTCTCTACAAAACCGCGCCCAACCTCTCTCTCTCTACGATTTGAAGGGGGAAGAGATGGAGATTATAATTGAGGAATACAAGTAGATGGAGCTGGTGCTTCCCTTCTTCTGTGTTGTGTGTCGTCGTTTCAGGGTGTAGCGTGGGGTTGGGGGTAATAGACGAGGACCTTCCTCATTCATCCATATGGAATGAGATAGATATCAGGCGGTGAAGACTACGAACTTCTTTCTGTCATTAATTTTCTTTTGGGAAAAAATATAGATAACCCCAGTCAATTTCCACACATCCTTCCTCCGAAATTTATTTTTCCCAACCGAAACTTTAATATTTTTTCTTATCCCCACCCCACCCCCCCCCCCCCCTCGCCCCCCCCCCCCTCCCCAAAATAAAAAAGCCAATAGATTTAAGGGAAAACTGTTAAAACCCCCAAGATTGATGTCTTACCCACTTTACACCTCACCCAACCTCTTTTTGGCAACTTCCCCCCTTTCCGCCCAACAAATGATGTTAGCTAGCTAATACCTTTACACAAAAGGTTAACTTATTTTTAACAAAAATGCCCTTCCCTCATATAACAAATTATTTCATTAGAGAGGGCTGTCTGGTATTTTGAACAACCGTTTCGATGATTTTTTTTTTTTTTTTTTAGAATGGGTAGTCCGACATTTCATAGTGACGGTCCAACGATTATTTTTTTGCTAGAATGGGAGGTCCGACATTTGGAAGTTACGATCCGGCAATTTGAAGTTGTGGTTCGGCATTTTGAAGGGGCAGTCCGGAATTTTGTAGGGGCAGCCCGGCGTTTTGAAGTACGCTAGACTGAACAGTCAGGCGTTGTATAAATACCATCTGCCATTTCCTTTTATTGAGATCCAAAAATGATTTCTCATGTGAAAGGAAGGTATTTTCGTCAAAAAATATGTAACTTTTTGAGTTGAGGGGATTAGTTATAAAATATGGTTTTTGAGAAAAATAAGTGAGGAACGTCTAGGGTGGGAGTAGAATGTCTAAAAAGTATATGTTTAGGAGTTTTTAGCAATTTTCCCTGACATAAAAATGATTTCTTTTCCTCTATTTTAGAATCACTTGACTCTCTCTCCACCCACACTCTCTCTTAAAGTAAAACCCATTTTATCTCTTTCTCTCTCTCATCCTCCATTTCTTTATCTCTCATTTTTTGTTTCTCTCTTCCTCTCTCTACCTGCCCTCTCTCTTTCACTCTCTAGCTATGGACTAAGAGTTTTGCCCTGCTGGTAATGCAGTATGCACCCAATGTGCCAGACCATATTCCTAGCTTTATTTCAAATTCTAACTAGTTCGGCACACTGGAAGTCGAACTGCATTACAAGCCACGCTACTGGAACTCAATGTAATCTGGCACACTTGGTGTCTGATCGAGTTTTTTTTGCAGTCCGGCATTTTTTTGTGTCGGATCAATTTTTTTTTTTGTCCAACACTTTTTTGTGTCGAATCGCATTATTAGAGAATGAGAAAAAGAGAGATAGATAAGAAAAACACTACGCAATGCCTATAGGCGACAATGAACAGTAATTTCACCCACCCCCATCACCGTCCAAAGTTCATCGTGTGGTCATGATTTTGATAGTATTTTATTTTTCATTTTTTTTCTACAAATCGAAATGACTTGAAATTTGGAGTGTATATTCATCAAAAATAGGGAAATCTTTGAAAAATATATAAAAAATATTTTACGTGAAAATAATAACTAAAATACCCCTAAAAAATTCAGGGGTATTTTGATCAATTTGTTTTTTACAGATAATTTGTTTTATATTTTTACTAGATGCAACTCAATAAGATGTATATACTCTCTAAATTTCAAGTCATTCTGATTTGAAGAAAAACAATGAAAAATAAAACACTATTAGACAATCGTGATGGCGCGATGAAATTTGGACGGTGATGAAGGTAAGCGAAATCACTACTGATTTTGGCCTATAGGCATTGAGAAGACTTTTTCGAGAGATAAAGGTTTTTTACTTGGGTGCAATTGGCATACGGATGCATCTATAGTTGTAGAGGTAATGTGCACCTTCAAATTTTATCATGGTGTATAATTTTGATGTAAAATATTCTTAAGATTATCTCAAAATCTATTTTAATATCTAATTATAATATTTTAAATTTTAAAAATGGTTAAAATCAAGTAAATCTATAAACATATGAAAATCTTAAAAATAGACAGTAAATGTACTATTTCTTAGACCTAAAAAATCTTTTTATTTTTCATGGTCATACATCTCGATATGGAGATGATCAATCCAATGGTTTTTTAACACTAAAACTTAATTTTTCAGATGGATTTTTTAGGTGCATCCATAGTTCTACATTATAAGGTTGCATCTTTATATAAACTTTTTCCTTTTTACTTTGGGAAAGAGAGTGTGGAGAGAGAGAGAGAGAGAGAGTCATGTGGCCCAAAATAGATGAGAAATGAAAGACAAAGGGTATTTTTCTATTAAATCCATTGACTTTTTTTACTTTGGTGTAAATATAAAAAAAGTATTGTATTAAGGGGATGTAAAAAGTTTTGGAGGTAGGATGTCTAGAAAGTTGAATTTGGGGTATCTATAATTTTCCCTTTTCTTCTACTTCATTGATTTTCCCTTTTCTTCTACTTCATTGAGTTCATTCTTTCTTTGAATTTTCTCTTTTCAGCCTTTTGGAAAATCTAAAAATTTATCGCAATATCCTGCTTTATTTATCATAAAAATGGTTTGACAGGGTTGTAGCCCTATTAAAACAAGTAAAGCCTCACCTCCAAACCTTAAAAAAAAAAATATGACATTGACAATTTTTCATATAGATCATCTTGGCCTTGATCATTCTAGTTGTTAAAAAATTTAGGATTTCAAACTCTAAAATAGCGCATATTGAAAAAACTTATCTAGATTGTCTATTTCATCCTAAAAATAAGTATTCATTGATATGTAAGATTTATACCATTTTTTTAACTTCAAATTTCATAGTTGGTATTGGAAATTAATTTTAGAACGGTTATGGAATCTTCTTTTTTAAGCTAAGCTATAATGGAGATTTTCAATGCCCAAAGTGCTTTTTGGATGCAAATTCGAGGTGAGGTTATGGAATAGTGAAGCCGAACTGTCCATACTGAATTTGGGCCAATCGAATAATCACAACTGCATTTTGTATGTGAATTTTAATTTTTTCTACAAATATAAATCACATGAAATTTGGGGCATATGCTATTCTTCTCAAGGCTCACCTAATAAAAGTATATATAAAAAAAATATTTTTAAAATAAATTGATCAAAATACCCTTGAAAGTTTTAGGGGTATTTTCATCTATTTAATTTTTTAAAAATATTTTTTGGTATTTTTATTAGATTTGCTTATTTTTTGAGAATAAACGCTCAAAATTTCAAGTAATTTAGATTTATAAAAAAAAATATAGGGGAATAACCTTCCCTTATATAGTTTAGATCTGCACCAGAATTTACTTAAACTACAGGTTTAAACATATTATTAGACTCGGTTTTGGGATCGACTTGGGCTCTGCCTACGGGTCTTCTCTTCGAGAAGCAAGGAGAAGAGAGGAGTGAGAGAAGGTTAGAGAGAGAGAATTCTCACTCTAGTGGGGGGAGAGAGAGCAATGAAAAGATATATAGAGAGAGACTGAGAAGGGAGAGAGAATAAACTCCTTTGATTGATCTACAGATGATTTGATCTCTTATATTCTACCCCTTTTATAGAGGTTTTGGGCATTATTTTTGATAAAGCCTTGCTTTTTCCTTAAACAGATGGTCCTTCATACAACACTATTCACACAACATCGTAATTCTTTTATGATGAAAGATCTCCTAAGTTCTATCATAGAAAGAACCAACAATATGTTGGAATTGCAAAGAATCATGCCCATTTCGAAAACCTGCACATGGTGATAATGTGCATATTATTTTACCCTATTTGGGTGATTTTTTTTGTTGAAATTGTTGCCATATTCGAGGGTATTGCCTGTAAGCGATGCGTTGAACTTGAACCCGGATATAGTGAGAAATGAACAATAGTTAGCTAGGGCATTCTCCAAAATCGATGTGTTGTCTTAAAAGAGTAACGACCTTAAACTTTCCCTTTAACCTGTCTCAAGCCCGGGTAAAGATGAGTTATGTTAATAAGCAACCAACATAAAACTTCGCTAAAACTTTCGATGAATTCTGAATCTACAATGAGCTGTTCCATATTCAGGTGATTTATTTTGTTATGATAACTCTACATATTAACCTAACCATATTGTGACTCCCATTGGGATATGTACATGTATATATTGTCCCACAATTTGTAGAGAGTAAAGACATCTAAATTTCCAGCAAAGATTATCTCACTTTCCGTGCTTATAAGTTTTTTATCCCGAATTTTTAACGTTTTAGCAACCTTATACTTGTGACAACCTCACATTTCTAGGAAGGTTACACTTTCTTTTACCAACACCTTTTTTTTACGAATAACTTTCATCCTAAATTCTTACGTATCCTAACTTTCCAATTATAGTAAAGTTCCTTGACTTTTTTTTTTTTACCCCACACAAAAAATGTCATAAATATATCAAATATCTTATTGCCTAAAGAAACCAGAAAATAGGGATCTTTGCAAACTTTGAAATTAAGAAATTAGTGGAAAACAAAATTTAGGGTTTGGGGTTTGACAAAGAAGGAATATGTATGAGATTAAACAAAACATTTTATTGGGAAGCAATCAAACTACTTAGAATGGTCATAATCCGCTTGTTAAGAGGAAGCTCGAGAAAATTGAGTTATATCGCTCAAAAAGTGAAAGATCCTCTTTTGGTTTAATATATAATGAGACCATCTACTTTTAATATAAGGCGGTCACAATTGATTTTTGACCTGACCTCTCGATGAATATGATAATTGGTAGCTGCAATTATTTTATCGACCAAATTCAAAGTCTAAAATTTTTTTTATCCAATTTTGTGTCACATCCAAGCGATTAGATCTCCCATCGGATGCTTGTAAGTATTAGCGGTATCGTGTATGAAAGATAAATTGTTTCATTGTATGCAGTCCCTTATCTACAATGAATACTCAAGTGACGCCATGTCAGCGGCGGGCCGCCATATGTGGATACTCCGGAAGCGCCATTATCCGCTCGTCTCTGCCAAAATGACCCCTCTCCCTCTCTTGTTAATGCAGCAAAAAAGATGACGAAGCAAACCCAACAAGGGACCTAGACTCTGAACTGAAAACCAGATAATCATTTGCTATCAACTGGAAAATAGAAAGACACCCGCGACTAAATCCAAAGTTTTTTTTTAAACCAAATTTTGAAGCAGCTGGTATTTTCTTTCATCGCATCTCTCGCTGCTGCTCCTTATGCTCAGGTTATGCCCTAGGGGCTTTATTTCGTACCATTTTTAAATCTACATAATTCCCACCGGCTCTGCATCGCCATGGAATTCACCTTGGCCTCAAAGGTTAGGGTGGTTTCAGGGCCCATTCACTACTTCATTTCAAGTCAAGCTCCTCCAATTTCTGCGAAAAGCCCCCGAGTTCTCCCAGAAAGCTCTCACCTCAATCTGTCTAGGACTGTATTAACCTACCGATCTAGACCTGCGTGTGGTGTAACGTCGATGAGAGATCATTCTCAGCCTGAAACTGAGGTATGCCGTGTGTTCTTCTTATTGCTCGATACTTCTCTTTCTTCTTCTGTTCTGATTTTTTGAAGTGTATATTTGCATTTTTATTGTTTAGCATTTTGGTTGTATATTTGAGACTGATAGGTTGTACCTTGACTCAGGGTTCTGCATTTCTTATCATAAAAGGTTATCTTTTGTAGGTTATGTGGTAAGGAAGGTAGGTTATGTGATAAGGAACGGTAGAGTAGGGTTTCTCTTAAGAGACCTTACTTGTTGGGAGTTGTGTTTTGAATTTTTGTGTGCATACATGTTTTGGGTCATTGCGCTTTCCTTTACCTTTGTTTTTATGTATACATGTCTATGCAAGAATAAGAGTGTTTATCTTGAAAATTTGTTGGTTGGCATAAATAAACTTAATGGGATTTAGAAATGGTCTTTGTTTGCATTCGATATGCCACATGAATTATTGTTTTCTGTTTATTTAGGTTTTCATTTTAGTGCATAGAGTTGGAGCTCGATATACGAAGACTGATAGCGAGATACTAACAGGCTCTCTAAATAGAATCTCATAAGATTTCTATCATAAATCTTCAAAAGGAACTTGAAAGGTAGTTGATAAAAATAGTATGTATATATCAATGTTTCGGGAATTCGCTGAGTCTACTCAAGCAAAGCCAAGTAACTCGGCCTCGGCCTATGGCCAAGGCGAGCATGTCCTGATTTCAACATACACCTCCTTGGAAACAGGGAGTTATACAATCTCTCTTTAAATAGGAGACATATAGAATTGTACGAACTATCGAGGGATCAAACTTATGAGCCATACTATGAAGTTGCGGGAGAGAGTGATTGAAGAACGACTGAAATGAGTGGATTAGAAAGCCAAACCAATTCGGTTTTATGCCAAGGAGGCCAACAATTAAGGCTATTTTTCTACTTAGGCAGTTGATTGAGAAGTTTAGGGCAAAGGGAAAAGACCTCCACATGATTTTTATTGATCTTGAGAAAGCTTATGATAGAGTACCTCGAGATTTAATTTGGACGGTGTTGGAAAAGAAAGGAGTCTCTAGATACTATATCAATTTGGTGAGAGATATATACGAGGGAGTGCAAACTAGTGTATGAACAACTAGTGGAGAGACATGTGAGTTTTTAGTGGCAATAGGTCTACATCAAGGGTCAGTGGTTGAGCTCATGCTCTTTGTCTTAGTTATGGATGAGTTGACTGGGGTGCCGACAAGATGAGGTACCATGGTGTATATTGCGACGACATAGTTTTGAGTGATGAGACCAGAAGTGGCATCAAGATAAAGTTAAAACTTTGGCAGGATGCTCTAGAATCTAAAGGTTTTGAAAATTAACTGATTGAAGACAAAGTATATAGAATACAAGTTTAGTAATAACAAGAGTAGAGATGAGAAAGTAGTTAAGTTTGATGATAATAAATACCAAAAAGAGTGCACTTTCAATATCTTGGATCGATAATCTAGGATAATGAAAAGATTGAGGAAGATGTCGCGCATAGAATGAGAGTTGGGTGGGCGAAGTTGAGATGTGCAACTAGAATATTATGTGATTTCCGTGCAACTAAAATATTATGTGATTGCCGCATACCAATGAAGCTGAAGGGGAAGTTCTATAGGACAACTATGACACCAGCTTTGCTTTAGGGGGCGAAATGTTGGGTGGTCAAGAAACAATATACCCATAGGATGAATGTAGTTGAGATGGATGAGTGGCAAGGCAAGAAGGAATAAAACTCCTAATGAATACATTCGGGAGAACTTAGGTGTGGCTTCAATAGGCGGTAAAATGAGAGAGTAGACTTAGGTGCGCTGGCCATGTGTAGTGTAGACCAATTACAACACATATTAGGAGGTGCGAGTTGGTTCAAGTGGAAGGCTCGAAAATGGCAAGGGGTAGGCTCAAAAGCATATGGTTGTAAGTAGTGAAAAAAGATATGGGGACTTATGGCCTCACTGCGGGTATGACCCTTGATATAGCAGTATGGTGGAGCAAGAGTCGACTATGATGATGATGATGATGACAGTCTCTCTCTAAATAAACGAGAAAACTCTATTTCTTTCTCTAAATCAGGCACTTCCTCTCTCTCTGGATCACACGGCTGGAGAGGTGCCTCTTCTCTTTCTCTCTCTAAATCACACCACTGGAGAGGCACTTCCTATATTTCTGCCCTAAATCACATGGCTGCAGAAAAGGGCACTGTTTAGCTCTCTCTAAAAACAAGGAACCCATTAAAGAGAGAGAGAGGAGGTGAATTGGTTCGAGTCTTGAGTGCAGAAGAGTCCTAGATTGTAGTCTATCGGACTCTCTCTCTCTCATTCTTTTTATTCTTTCCCATTCTGTAGGCCTCAACAATGACTCCCTTCAACAATAGCCCTATTATTTTTGACATTTTTATATATAGCAAAACATTTTCAAACATATTGCTTCACTCACGGCTCATCATCATGCAAAATCCATGATACTGTCATGGCTATCTATTAGTGTTTGAATTTTAATAATTTTTCTAAAAATAAGATTTATTTGAAATTTGGTGTGTGCATACATCCGACCGACTCACACCTATATACAATATTAAAAAATAATTGTCAAGAAATAAAATGATAAAAATACCCCTAAAATATTCATAGGGTAATTTGGTCTTTTTATCATCTAAATTATTTTTTATATTTTATTGAGGTGCTTCTCACTAAGGCACACACACCCACAAAATTTCAAGTTAATAAAATTTGTAGAAATTATTAAAATTCAAACACTTTCTAACAATCGTGACTGTGTGATTGACTTTGGACGGTGATGAGCTATGAGTGAAGTACTATAGAACTTCACCTATATGTGTTTGTAAGGTTTTTCTCTCTGTGTGTGTGTGCGCGCTCGTGTGTGTTCATGCGTGTGTCAAAGAGATGAGATCAAAGAGTTGATATATACAATATTGGAGAACTCTCTAGGCGGCGTGGCGGGCACCCAGAGACATGAGCGCCCAAATGTCATATTTTTTTTTAAGGGTTTGGTGGAATACCAACCCCTTGGATATGAGTTAAATACCTGATTTAAAAAAAAAAAGAAAAAAGAAAAGAAAAAAGAAACTGAACATGCATTCATTGTTTCACAAAATGATAAAAAATATTAAAGTTCAAGTATGTGTATAAATATCTAATGAGAAATAAATAATTGCTCATAGAACCCTAATTCAAAACTTGAAAATCTCTAACCTTTGAAGTGGAATCTTTCAAGCTTTCAAAGGGTGAGCTTTGGTTGCCAAAAACCTATTTTCACAACCACTTCAAGTCCCAAAAAGATTGGGCTCGAATGCCTTTTAATTTCGCAAGAAATCTAAAATTTTAGATTTGTGGTTGATCTTCAATTTCTCATAAAAATCCAGATTCAGGAGTTTTTTGGCTTGAAATTGGTTCTACAAGGATTTTAGGGGGTTAATACAAAGAAAAGAGGAGCAAAAGAAAAGAGGAGCAAAGAGGGCATTTTCGCCCCTCTCCCAGTAATTTGTTGTGAGCAGCTTAGGCACCCGCCTTGTGGCATGACCCCCCTACTTGCCCGACATCGCCCAGGTCCTCTAGCCGCTTACGTGCTCGGGCGGGCGAATTTTTTGACGTTGGATATATATATATATATATATATATATATATATATATATATATGAGAGAGAGAGAGAGAGA